TTTACATTAAAATTTTCAGTCTTTTTTAATGACTTAAAGGTAAAAAGTATTCATAAAAATACAACTTCAGCTATTTCTCATTGAGTATCGTCTATGTTTCAAGAGTTTGAAGGATTTGTCATTTAGGATTGCTGAGTAATATATAATAATTTTATAGTTTTCTATGCTCATGATTAGGAAATAAGTCTTATTTCTTCCTGTACAAACTAATGAATTATTAAAGGCACATAAAAATACTTAGTAAAAATATTTTCCAAATAACTCACTTAAAAATGAGGATTTGGGGCAGTCTTTTGTAAGTGGGATAATGACATTAAGGTAAGCCTAGAGTTTGAGGATCCATGTGTCATTAACTTGATAAATAATTGGTGATATTGCTATAATATAAATGTTGGCAGAGGGTTTCATGGTATCTAATATATTTTTATGTCAATTTGTCCATCACTTAAAACCCTCTGAAAAAAATAAATTTTGAATTTTTTCCAGGGTCCATTATACTAGGATTGTGTGCCCATTTTATATCATCTTCACATGTGTAGCCAAATTTTGGCCACCTGGTATCCTGTTGCAGTGTTTTGTCTTTTTCTTTTTTTTTTTTTTGGCACTGTGGATCTAGTAGGCATGAATAATGTAATTACGCATTCTGTAGTTCTAGAACTTAAGTGCATTTCTTTGTATTTTCCTTGAAGACATTTCTATTACATTTTTACTTCTATTAAATTTTTCATATGTAACATGAATCCTAAATGATCAATATGTTTCAAAACCAACTATTTTAAAACTAGATACCTGATAATACATAACTGTTATCTCTTTAGATACTTTTAAATTGGGGCAAAAAAGTCAAAGAAGCAATGAAAGTTACCATTCACTTATTCTTCCTAGGAGTTTCTTTGAGTTGCTGCTGTTCTTTGGAAGAGATGAGTTTTACGAAGAACCCTTAAAGGATATTCTTGGATCATTTCAGGTAAAACAATTTAGTACTGCACATTTTGTCTATATTTAGCAGACCTTTATGCTTCCCGTAAAAAATAGTTTATTGGTTATTTATTGTTTGTAATTTTTATATTTAACTGATATGGCAAAGCTTAGGATCCTGTTATACTGGTGGGGAAAGAATGTTTCTTAAAATGAACCTTTAGCTGTATTTCTAAGCAGTTTATGAATAGGATTCCAATTCTACATTTGTTATACCAGAGCCTACTGTCACCACCCTTATAGATTCCTAAGCACATCCTGGACATATGCTCATTTTTTTATTGCTACAGGCTTTGGCTTCAAAGTCCCATGTACAGCTTGGCCCTTACCTAGACTGGACTCAGGCTGTCTGTTCCATGAGCTTCCCCCCTTGGCTTTACCCTGATTTTTGTTATATATTTTCTCAATAGCCTCAGTAAGATAGAAGGCAGATATTTTTTGCGCATTCTATGAAAGAAGAGAATAAAAAATATCCAAGACCTCTCTTGTAGATGGCAAGCACATTGATTTTTTTTTTTTTTTTTTACCATTTATATATGAAGAAATACCTAGTAGTACTTGGGCTCACTGATGTGTCCTTACCTTAGCATTATCTCATCAGCACTTCTCTGGGGTGGAATAAAGGAAGATGTGCTTTGAGCTCCCCCTAGGGGCAAAGTGTTTACACAATGCATCTTACATTTATTCCTATGGTGTTAAAAAGAAAGGCTGATGGTCAGATTATTTCTGTCCACCTTTAGGAAGAGTCATGCAGTGCTCTCTTTCACCTAGAATTTTTATTTCATGTTCATTGAAAGCAAACTTTTATAATGAATAAATTTTTTTAATGATCAGTCACTCTAGTGCATACACAAAATAGAAAAATTATAAGCAAACTTAATTGTGTCAAGTATATCTAAAACTTCTTCACATTCAGAATCTGAGTCTAGATTTGCTTTTCCACTCAGCTATCAATGCCTGATTTTTAATACCATTTTGCCTTCAGTGACATCAAAAGTGTTGGTCAAATAGCATTTTCTAAAATAATAAAAACTATAAAAGCCATTGGTATTTGGCTTTTTTAAAAGCTTAAGCTGGCTTTATGGTTCTGTGTAGCCAACTTTTGACCTGCCTCAGAGAAGTTGTTAACTTAGATCAGTTGCTCTACACCCATCCCACATGTTTGGTTCCTAAGAATTAAAAAAGTGCTCTGCTAGTCTTAGATTTTATTCTGAGTCACTGTATACCCTTTTGCAAGTGTCTGTGCTCTTTGAATGTCCATTCAAGCAGAATTACAACTACATCATGACTATTATCAGGCTGACATGGATTCTAAAATATCAGTGAATATATAAAATATTCTGATTTTAGAGTGGTACAAATATTTAAAAATGCATGTTACAATCAGTGAAATTAAGAATGCTATATTGAACATTTTACCTTCTTCATTCCTACATTCAGCAAAAGAGGTAAAAATACCTGTCGTCATGGAGCTTAATTAAGCCTATATTCAAGTACTTAAAACTTACTAATTTTCCATTCATTTTTTCCTTTGAAACTTGTGCTCTTGGCAATCCATTCCTTAACTTTTACTCAGCAAATATTTATTGTGTTCTCACTATGTACTAGGTACTGAGCTCTGGGACAAACAGTAGTAAACAAAAACAGAAAAACCTTGCTATTGCGGAGTTTGATTTTAATGTGGAAACAGAAAGACAGTAAACCAAAATTAAAAATTAAGAGTATTTTAGAGTGAGACAGATGACTTGGAGAAAAATGAAGGAGGCCGGGGAGGTAGGGAGTGCTAGCATAGTAGTGTTGGGGAGGAAATTTCAGCTTTAAATGAGTCATCAGGGAGAGTCCCTCATGGAGATGGTGGCTGAACTTTGACAGTGGGAACCAATGAAGTGTCTGTAAAGTAGATGAGAGACAGTATCTGACTTCTGTTGTAAAGGGGTGAAATCTTAACACTTTGAAGGAATATATTCTTTATTTATTTTTTTGGTGAGCAGTGTTTCCATTCAGTTATCAATATAATCATTTCCTCAAGGGAGAGTTTATGGTTTTTGTACCCTTTCTATATCCTGCTCAAATTCTAAAGCCTGCTGCTTCTTTTTAGGGGGGGGCAGGGTGTGTGTGTGTATGTGTGTTTGTGCTTTTAAAAAAAATTTATTTGCCATTTCTGCCATTTTGTTGCTGTGGCTTTTTCCTACTCTGCATTTTCTCAAGCCTTTGACTCCACCCCATAGGAGAGACTTCACCTTTTGTTCCCATTTAGCTTTACCTGGAGAATTCTCCGGGTAAAATCCTCCATTTTCTAAACTGAGCTCTTGGCTGCCTGTGCTTCTCAGACCTGTGCCCTTAACAGCCCCAGGAAGGTTTAACATGTAGTCCATCATGTACATCACCCTAAAATTTTGTATTTACTAAGTTTTGTGAATTCTCCAGGTTTTTGACTGACCTTTAGTAATCCAATAGCAACCCCAATGTCATCTTTTGAAAACTTTTAAATTTTTATATTGCTAGTATAAACTGTTTCCCCAAGTGGTTTCTTTCTGTCCATCTTTCATACATATTCATACCAGCTTAAGATTGTGCTCTTTCTCCTCTACCATGTATCTGGGGAATGTTGTTAAAATGCAGATTATGGCTCAATATTTCTGGGGTGGGGCCTGAAAATCTGCATTTCTAATAAGCTCTGAGGTGATGCCTGTAGTGCTGGTCCCTGGACCAGACTGAGTCAGCAATGGACTAATATTCTTTGCTGAATTTGAGTTAATTATTCCTTTTGTGTCCACCCTCCACACCTGTATTCCAACTGTGAGTTTGCCCCCCTGTCATCTTCGGCAATTTCTGTTTTCTTCATTTGTAAAATGGGGACATTATAATACTTGCAGCATAGGGTCATCAGCCTGGCATCATTCTTAGCAAAAGATCTGGCTTAAGGCTTAAGGCTTAAGGTAGGCCTTATAACCTGTCTGGTGCAGGGTATGGGCTCTCTGATGTCATACTATCTGGGCTTATCTGTCTTCACAATAATATCAAAACCTAGCCCTTAATTAAGCTTATTTTGTTTTTCTATGAATTTCTGATCTCTTAAAACCTAAGCTGTTCAAATAGAAATTTTTAAGTCTTATACACTGACTATAATTTTTCCTATGGCTTTTCAAGAGAAAACTTTATTCTTAAAGCCAAATGTTCCATTTACTGGCTTTTAAAAGTCTGCTTTCTTACCCCTTAGTTTCCAACAATTTTTCTTTACTTCAACACAGGAAGTTCACACATTTATTTTTTTAATCCTCACCTGAAGATGTTTATTGATTTTAGAGAGAGAGGAAAGGAGAGAGGGAGGGAGGGAGAGAGAGAAACATCAGTGTATGAGAAATATTGATCGGTTTTCTCCAATACGTGCCCCAGACAGGGATTGAACTCTTAACCTTTTGGTATACATGACAGTGTTTCAACCAACTGAGCCACCTGGCCAGGGTAACACATTTCTTATATGCTGCACCTACCTCATTATTATTTTTAATTAGTTTATTGGTGAGTCTAGGTCTCCAAACCTCATTAATTAAATTTTCTAGATTTCCAATGGAATGGCAAAAAATAATATAAAATAAGGGGGAAAAAAATCCTTATGAATGCTAGAAACTAAGACAAAGACCTCTATCAGGAACTTGGGCAAACCTGCCCTGACTGGTGTTGGCTCAACTGGGCGTTGGCCTGCAAAGCAAAAGGTCGCTGGTTCAATTTCTGGTCAGAGTACTTGCCAGCGTTGCAGGTTTGGTCCCCCGGTGGGATGGTTGGGATGTATACAAGTGGCAACCAATTGATGTCAAACCACTTGCGCAAACAATATTTGATTAACTGAATGAAAGTAAATAGGGAGATTTGAAAGAAAGAGAAAGAGGAGTGAGACATTCAGTGTTATCTAGTAATGCTCTCTGCCTACTACCACCAGCTTGTAATAACTGGGGCTGGAGGAAATAGTAGATGGGGGGGGGGCATTTGGTGTGTGCCTTCTTTTTTTTTTAAGTTCTCATTTTATTAATGCTTTCATAAAAAATTGGCACAGTCACCGCAGATAAAGTCACTAAAGAATCTTTACTCCTTTTTTCATCCAACCTCCAGCTCATTTGTGTCAGCACCAACACTGGCCTTTGCAGCCCCCTTAACTTTCTTTATTCTCTTTTATGGTCCTTTCATTCTTTTCTTGAGGTTGTTGTCTTATCATACAGGCCATGTCTTGCAAGTATATGTTTGGGTTCATTTTTCTTTGAAATCATAAATTATGCCAAAGCCAGTGGTCTTGCCACCACCGAAGTGAGTTCTGAATCCAAATACAAAGATGACGTCTGGTGTGGTCTTATATAATTTAGCTAATTTTTTTTTCCCTGAACTCTGTCTTATGTACTGTTTCTTTCCCAGGGTGGAGAATGTCAGCGGCCATTTGTTTCCACTAAAGTAGTCTGTTGGTCATGAACTACCTGATCCCTGGATAGATACTGTGTTGTTCATGATGGTGGCTGATCTTCAAGTAGCCAGGGAGGAAGAGAGTTCTTGGTGCTTGTTGAAAGTGTACTGAGTGTGCAACAGAGCCCATGAAACAGGAATCCTGATATGACTGTTACACCTGCATTAAAAATGGGATATATGGCTCTGCATGAGAGTGTTCCTTCTATTGAGCAAATGAAGGTATAACCCAGACCAAAGGTAGTGTGTCCCAATACCCTGAGGTATAAGAAAGTCTTACAAAGGAGTGGTTGTCTTCGTTGTAGATTCCTCCTTACTGCTTCATAGGCCATTGATCTAAAAAATTAAAACTTCTTCCTTCTCTCTTGGTTTGAGCTTGGAGGATTGGTTGGAGACTTTCCATTAGTAAAACAGCTCTCTGTTCTAGATGTTCTAGATAAAGATGAATAAAGAGAATAACACCATTTGCCATCAATTACATGGTAAGATAAGACAGTTAAAAAAGAATCAGTTATGGTCTTCTGTAATTTACTTCAGGGTATCTTCCATTGAAACTGGAAGTGAAATTGTAAAGAAGGGACAACCTCAGAGAATATATGGAGGTAAAATATTGTATAGAGATGAAACTACTGAATTTAAAGTGTAGTAAAGGCAATCAATAGCAGATTAGTTCCAGGAAAAACCAAATCAATGAAGGATGTGGTCTCTAAAAATTAATTTTCAATTCAAAGTTATGTGCAGCCATTTCTTGTAGTAGTTTTCAAGTTTTAGGGTAAAGGAAACTTCTACCAATGCAGAACTCATGTAGAACAATTAAGATTTCAACAAAGGAAAAAATATATTCAGGCTGACAATGACTTTTATAACAAATGGCAGCATAACTAGATACTGTCTAAGGAGTTTTTCAAGAGAAGAAAAGTAACTTTAATACAGCTGCCAAGCCCTACAGTTTATGAGAGAGGACAACAGAAATAATAGTTTAAATACTTGGAAAACAAACCAACTGCATGTCTTTCAGGAAAACAAAGAAATATGACAGCTGATTTAGAAATGATCAAAACAAAGAATTTGCTAATAGAGTTGTTATAGAATAACAGAAATAGGATTGACCTGAGGACACAAGTTAAAATTAGATTATTGTTAATATGACTATTATAACAATTCTATTAATGTCAAAAATATTTGGAAAATATAAGTTTTAAATAAAAGCAGTAATTTGGAACTAAAATCTCAGATTATGGTTTTGATTGGATAGGGCTAAGAAAGATAGAGAAGAATCAAGTATATTATTGGATATCTAAACTGAAGTAACCACACAGGGTAGGGCCATTCCTTAAGTGGATGCGGATTATAGTCAGAAGAGCAAGATATAGAAAGAAGGTAAATTCTATTTTAGACACAGAGTTTGAAGTAAATTTGGAATGTCCAAGTACTAATGCCCAGTGATTGTTAGATTCGTGAGCCTATATTCGTAGCTTTCCAGTTTTTATTTTTTTAAACCAAGAACATGTACTACTTTTCTCAGTCAAGAGAAAAATGGATGTTATGCAGTTGTTTTTTGTTGTTTTTTGTTTTTTTTAATTTAGAAAAAGAAGAGAGACTTTAGAGTAGCCTGCAAAATGCCAACCAGTAATCTAGAAATCTTACTGCTTACAGCTCTGTAGACGTGTTAATGAGCCTGCCCTGACCTCAGAGAAAAATCTATCCCTATCCCATGCGGTCAGTGTAGAAGTCAGAAAAATCTTTTCTAAGATTGGAAGTAAGCCTTAGTTAAGCTTTCTTTCCTGGGATTCTACCCAGTTGTTTTTTTTAATCTGCTTGTTCTTTAGGTGAGTTGGCGAAGGAAGTGAGAGCAGGTAGGGGATATAACCTTCCAAATAGGAGGAAGCCCAAGGCTATTCTATTTCTGTAACATCATAGGAGGACAGCATAACATAATCAAAAGAACCAGCACAAGAGAGGAGGTTAAATAAATTGTTCCCATCCTGTTTCACAGGAGTAAGTGTTGATCCTCCCCTAAGTGTTATAGTGTATATTCACTGGCATTATAAACCTGCACACCTCCCCGATTTTATTATTTTTAGCTAATATGAAGAAATTTAGAACTATTGACTTAATAATAAAACCTTCTGGACCATATCCTCTGGCTAGACTTCTGGGAATAAGTTGGTCAGAGACTTAATTTGGCAAAGTCCTAATCTTGGTATTCAAAAACACCAAGGTAGTCCTGGCTTTTAAAGCCAGGATATGTATGATACTACAACCATATCAGCTTAATAGCAAGACATTTTGTGAGTAGGAGTTTCAAAATTGTGTTTCCATATTTTCTGATAGTAGCTCGCTCTTGTCTCTACTGAACATCATTTTGACTGTATAGGGCTTTTCTCCCGTAAATTTTTCCACTTTTATTCAAAACACAAATCCCTCTACATTCTATCTTTAGTGTTAGTCTTTCCAACTGTGCTGCTAGAGAGGTGGGCAGAGACTGGCTCATACCTGTGTCTCCAACACTTGCTAGTCTCAGTCCCTTAGTATTTATGTTTGCAAAAACAAATAAAGGATGAATAAATCCACAGAACTTCTATCTGATATCTAGCCATTTCTTTCATTTTTAAAAATTCTTTTAGAGATGCATCATCTTGCTGAACTCTACAAGAGAAGAAACAATGAGGCATATTGTCTAAAACTGTTTACCTTATAGTTCATTGGTTACTCCTATGTACAATGAGATGGAGAGAAATCAGTGAATACATTCATAGGGTAAAACCATCAAATATTTACTTGTGGATTCTGCTTTGACAGTGTGCAGAAAAAAGAGAATTGAAGTCTGCTTAACTGAGAAAAGTGTAATGGAAAATAATTATGAAAGAAACGTACTTGACAAGTATGCTACATATATAGTAGTAGGAGTAAAATGGATTGGTGTTAAAATTAAAGCTTCAGGTTCTGAAATCATTTTGTAAAGATCTTATTCCTTTGACAAATATTGTGTTGAAATAGGTAAAGCTTTGATATTTTTTCTACTGGCATTTATCTTCTTAAATTATTTTTATTTATTATTTATTGTTGACACTATTTCAGATGCCCCATTCCCCCACTCTTTGCCCACCTCTACCCAGCCCTGTGCCCCGCCCCCACCAGCCCCAAGCCTTCACCATATTGTTGTCTGTGTCCATGGGGTATACATATATGTTCTTTGGCTAATCTCTTACAGTCAAATACCCCCCCCGCCCCCACCCCCGCTTCCTCTCCTCCCCTTCGCCTATCCCCTGAGATCTGTCAGTCTGCTCCATGTGTCCGTGCCTCTGGTCCTATTTTGTTTGTCAGTTTATTTTGTTCATTAGAGTCTACATATAAATGAAATCATATGGTATTTGCCTTTGTCTTATTGGCTTATTTCGCTTAGCATAATCATCGCCAGGTCCACCCATGCTGTTGCAAAGGGTAAGAGTTCCTTCCTTTTGATAGCCACGTGGTATTCCATTGTGTAAATGTACCACAGCTTTTTAATCCACTCATCTACTGATGGGCACTTGGGCTGTTTCCAGATCTTGGCTAATGTAAATAATGCTTCTAAGAAAATAGGGGTGCATATATTCTTTCTGATTGGTGACCCAGAAGGGGAATCATTGGGTCAGATATCAGTTCCATTTTTAACATTTTGAGGAAACACCACACTGTTTTCCATACTGGCTGCACCAGACTGCATTCCCACCAGCAGTGTGCTAGGGTTCCCTCTTATCCACATCCTCACCAGTACTTCTTGTTTATTGATTTATTGATGACAGCCATTCTGGCAGGTATGAGGTGATACCTCACTATAGTTTTAATTTTCATCTCTCTGATGATTAGTGATGTTGAGCATTTTTTCATATCCATTGGCCATCTCTATGTCTTCTTTGGTCTGTTTAGGTCCTTTGCTCATTTTTTAAATTGGATTGTTTGTCTTCCTGGTGTTGAGTCATATAAGTTCTTTCTATATTTTGGAGATTAAACCCTTGTCCAATGTGTCATTGGCAAATATGTTCTTCCATACTGTGTGTTCCCTTTTCATTTTGTTGATGGTTTCTTTTGCTGTGCAGAAGCTTTTTAAATTTTATATAGTCCCATTTGTTTAATTTTTCCTTTGTTTCCCTTGCCCAAACTGGTATTTTGGCAAAATAATTCTTGTATATCATAACCTCAGAAATATTTTCACTTTCTCTGTATTTTTTAAAATAATTTTTTGGAGAAGGAAACACCTTACTTCAGTTCTTTTGTTGAGGTTTTATAATCATTTTGAAGAGACACAAGAGCCTGGGTTATTTCAAGCTTAAAATACTATATAATAAATTAACTTGAAACATGTTCAAACAAGCTCAAGGGACCAAAAGCAAGCCTCCAAAAGATAGGACTGTCAACATCAATAAGTTCTATATTTCAGGAAAGGTTAGTGACACATGGAACATGTAAAAGAGTGTACTCCACATCAGTGTGCATTAATAGTTACTCCATACCGCAGTGTCCGATCATAAAGATCTTACATTCTGAGCATCTTGCAGTCTTCTGCTGTCAGGAGCAGGCATATAAGTGCCTTCAAAATCAGTGATAGGAATAACACTTTGAAACTAGCTCTGAAAGCATATCAGGATTAGTGAGGCTTTCATGTTCACTGAAAGCTGATTTTGTAGAGTGTCCTAATATTGATACATACTAAGTAGAATTATAAGCATGCTGTGCTTGGAGTAGTTTATATTTTCCCAGTTAAAATATTAGGTCATAGAAAATTTAGCTTTCAAGAACTGTAGAGGGCAATCTAATTTTTTAATAAATGATGAAATTGAGGACCAGAGAGATTGATTCATTCATCTATTCAGCAATATTCATTGAAAAGTAACTTGCCCAATTAGTAGCACAGCCAGTACCATGACCTGTTCCCTTGACTGATTCCTGTGCTCTTTCTGATGAATCAGATTTTGTATTTATTTCTTTGTGTAGGAATCTGTGCCCAAGTCTTGCATACACCTTAATTCTTGCTTCAGGGTGTGTTTTACAGATTAAAACTATAACAATTGCACTTCTCTATTGGCCATATTATTTCATTACTTATTTAAAAATGTTAATGGAAGGATCTTTCATTAGCATGGCAGCCACCAATGAATTTTTTAATTTGATTATGTTCTTACTTGAGGTTTTACAGTATTTATGATTAGCTTCCTCCTCAGATAAAACTCTGATTGCTAATTTAAGAAACATTTATTATCTAAGTTTTTAAAAAATGTATAAAATATAATTGTTTATTAAATAGATAACCAGTTACATAATTTAAATATTCATTTTTTCAACAGTTACATAAGGGATATATTAAATAGTTCAGTAAGTACATGATTCTAGTTATTTTTAAAAATCAAATATGTGTCATTTATAGGTATTTGTGCATTTTTATAATTTTG